GTATATATATATATATATATATATATATATATATATATATATATATATATATATATATATATATATATATATATATATATAATATGCACTAAAAAAATAAGGCAGGGAGATATTTTTACACAGTGTACAAATAAATTGGTGAATTTATTCAATTTAAATTACACTCACCGGCCACTTTATTAGGTACACTGGGTTTACTAGTACCAGGTTGAACCTCCTTTTGCCTTCGGAATAACCTTGTTCCTTTGTGGAATAGATTCAACAAGGTACTGTAAATATTACTCAGAGATTTTGCTCCATATTGACATGACAGCATCACACAGTTGCTGCAGATTTGTCATTCCACCACATCCCAAAGCTGCTCTATTGGATTGAGCTCTGGTGACTGTGGAGGCCATTTGAGTACAGTGAACTCATTGTCATGTTCAAGAAACCAGTCTGAGATGATTCATGCTTTATGACATGGCATGTTATTCTGCTGGAAGTAGCCATCAGAAGATGGAGACACTGTGCTTATAAAAGGGATGGACATGGTCAGCAGCAATACTCAGGTAGTCGGTTATTAACACAATGCTCAATTGGTACTAATGAACCCAAAGTGTGCCAAGAAAATCTCCCCCCACACCATTTCACCACGCTGATACAAGGCAGGATGGATCCATGCTTTCATGTTGTTGACGCCAAATTCTGAGCCGAGCATCCAAATGTGGCAGCAGAAATGGAGACTCATCAGAGCAGCAACGTTTCTTCTATTGTCCAGTTTTGGTGAGTCTGTGTGAATTGTAGCCTCAGTTTCCTGTTCTTAGCTGACAGGAGCGGCCGCCTCAAGGTTGGCCGTGTTGTGTGTTCAGAGATGATCTTCTGCAGACCTCGGTTGTAACGAGTGCTTATTTGAGTTGCTGTTGCCTTTCTATCAGCTGGAACCAGTCTGGCAATTCTCCTCTGACTTCTAGCATCAACAAGGCATTTGCGCCCACAGAACTACCGCTCACTGGATATTCCCCTTTTTGTCAGACCATTCTCTGTAAACCCTAGAGATGGTTGTGTGTGAAAACCCCAGTAGATCAGCAGTTTCTGAAATACTCAGACCAGCCCGTCTGGCACCAACAACCATGCCACGTCCAAAGTCACCTAAATCCCCTTTCTTTTCCATTTTTATGCTCGCTTTGAACTGCAGCATATCCTCTTGAGCATGTCTACATGCCTAACTTGTTGACTGGTTAGATATTTGTGTTAACAAGTAGTTGGACAGGTGTTCCTAATAAAGTGGCCGGTGAGTATACAGTATATATATATAAAGTGTAATTGAGAAGTGTTCATTTGATTTGTCCGCCATCACTCACGTTATTTACAGCTAAATTATCAAACAGAATGTATGGCTATTGATCATATTGATTAATCCTGTAATGTAACTCAGATGTGTCTCTTGAAAATGAGATATTGAATGATGGATGATCATCCCGCTTTGGCGTCCGCATCAAATAAAACGCAGAAAAGCGACTTCATATTCATAGAAAGCATATTAAATGTAAGTCAAATGTCAACGTTTCAAATAAGCTTTGTGAAAATTAAATGCTGAAATGTGGATGAAATTATCATGCTTTGTCAGAGATGTAATCTATACTATACGAAAATTAAATGACCTGTAGTTATTAAAATATGTAGAAGAATAGGTAAGCACATTGCTATGTTTTCAATGACTGAACCCTAATTATTTTAAGACATACTTGGCAACAACTGTGTAAAAGCTGGGTTTGAAGGATAGTGGGAGTTTATACATATTTCAAATGACAATTAATGAGTGTCTTGGGGGACTTCAGTGTCATTAAGGACTCCTGTTGTATGCTTGTTTAATAATTTCTTCAATTAGCTTTGCATTTCAAATGTAATAAATATGTGTCATGATGTGCTTTTTTTATTCACACAGATAAATGCAATAATATTTCAATAATAACTCATTTTAAGTTTCCAGGCGACATGGTGGCGCTGTAGGTAGTGCTGTCGCCTCACAGCAAGAAGGTTACTGGTTCAAACCTCGGCTGGGTCAGTTGGCATTTCCGCTGCATGAAAAAATGCTGGATAATTTGGCGGTTCATTCCGCTGTAGCGACACTTGATTAATAAAGGGACCACGCCGAAAATGAATGAATGAATTTTAAGTTTCTCACATTATAATATTGTAAATGTATGAATATGCATGCGTGTATATTTACAAGTATACATAGTTAAACATCTTTAAGGGGAAGATTTTATTGTATAGGATGAAAGTAAAGTTATATAGAGCAAAATGGATGTAATATTTCCTATTAAAAAAATATATACCAATTGTGGTGTGCACAACAAATACAATTCACAAAAAATGATTTATTATTCATAGAAAGCACATTAAATGTAAGTAAAATGCCAATTTTAATGTTTCAAATAACATTTGTGTAAACAAAGTAATGGATGAAATAATTGTCAGTGCAACACGGCAAGAACTATTTATTATTTAGAATTTAACCTTGTTCCTGGTCCAAATATCAGGAATAAAATTAGAAATTAAGTGTGTTTTTCCTTAAAGCAAGCAAAATAATCTGACACTAAATTTGTTTTTGGGCTAAAATACTATATGATCATTGTACTTACCCCATTGGGAGATTATTTTGCTTGTTTTAAGGAAAAACTCACTTAATTGTGAGTCATTATTTCTGAAAACAAATTATTTTCACGTGTCTCAAAAATATTTAATGATTTACGTATATTTTGACTAGAAAGGAGACAAAAACTCTACGTAAGGCATTTATTTATTTGATGTTTATTTATTTATTTGTTTGTTTGTTTGTATATTTATTTATTCAGTTGTTCATTTTCTTTTCGGCTTAGTCCCTTTATTAATTTGGGGTCGCCACAGCGGAATGAACCGTCAACTTATCCAGCACGTTTTTAAGCAGCGGATGCCCTTCCAGCCCCAAGCCATCTCTGGGAGACATCCACACACACACACACACACACACGCACGCACGCACGCACGCACGCACGCACACACACACTATGGAAAATTTAGCCTACCCAATTCACCTGTACAGCAAGTCTTTGGACTGTGGGGAAACCGGAACACCCAAAGGAAACCCATGCGAACGCAGGGAGAACATGCAAACTCTACACAGAAATTCCAACTGAGCCGAGATTTAAACCAGCGACCCAGCAACCTTATTGCTGTGAGGCAACAGCTACTGTGTCACCCTTTATTTATTTATTTATTTATTTATTTATTTATTTATTTATTTATTTATTTATTTATTTATTTATTTATTTATTTATGTGTTTGTTTGTTTATTTGTTTATTATTTTGCAGTGAACGGATATAGGCTACAACATCATGTGAAAATGAAATTACACATTTATTCTGACCTGAAGTTATTAAAATAAATAAAAGTAAATGATTAAGTGGTCATACATATTTATATTTTTGGTAACAAATCAGTAAAACCGTTTTAAATATGTTAGATAAACAGATAATGAGTGCTTTGGAATCAAACAATAAAACTGGTCTCGCATATGTCTATGTCCGACAAGATTTGTATAAAGTGTACATCTTGACAAATAACTAAAGCACAGAGGATCATTAGTGATATAAACAAAACTGTAATGTATTATTGAACAACAGACTGAGCAATGCACTGAAACATGATGAATAGTTGACAAACATCAGTCTAACTTACAATTGAATGTACAATTCAAGCTATTACCAAACCATTAACTAAGACTTATAGCTCAATAAACTATTAATTAGCTTCTTATTAATAGTTAGTAAGGTAATAGTTGGATTTAGGTGTTAGAATATTAGAATAAGAGTCTTATAAGTGCTAACAAATATCTTAATAACAAGCAGGTAATAACCCAGCATAAATAGTCTGAATTGTTACTTAAACTATAATGTTACCGAATTTTGATTGTATAACATTTGTAGCCTGTTTTCACAGTGCCCAATTGGATTTCTAAAAATAGGGTATACCTCACTGATAATATGATTATTTGACTGTGTATGTGCATCATCTATTATTTATTAAATAAACATGAGTATGCAAACATGAGAGATAAAGAAGCATAGTGAGCTCTTGAGGGACTCCACAGGTTTATACTATGACTTCAAAAACGCTTCTCAGTCTTGCAAACTAATTGGCTGTAGATGGAGAGGGTTCACGGTGCATCACGAAGCATCTCTCTCACTCTCTCTCTCTCTATTCATACATAGGTTGGACAATAATAATAATTCATTAGTATGGTGTAGGGCCTCCTTTTGCCTCCAATACAGCATCAATTTGTCTTGAGAATGACAGATAAAAGTACTGCACAGCAGCCAGGGGGATTTTCAGCCATTCATAGTGGCCATGCTGGTGGAGGGAAACCTTTCCTGTATCGCTCCACCAAAAAAACCCAAAAGTGCTCAATAATATTTAGGTATGGTCACTGAGCAGGCCATGACACATGTTCAACTTCAATTTCATGCTCATCAAACATACCCAAATAAAAAAAATACTAATTTAATTCTGAAAATGATAATGAATGTAATACTTCTGCTGCTAATACTCCTAATAATAAAAAATATAAATATAACTATTAATATAAATATACATAAAATATTATACAATACAATACACAGCTGTACCTTCATTCAGATGGTTTGTAATAGACACTATCTCACTCTTTCTGTTTAATTCAATTAAATTTAAACTTGCTTTATATATAAAACCATTATTAAAAATGATAAACTGTATATTTAACAGTTAGGTTAGTATTTATTTATTTATTTTTTTGATAACTGAACATAATATGTATAATTTCGAATTCAGTGTGTGCGTGCGCGCGTGTTTGTGAGTTGTGCGCGCTCTCTCTCTCACCTCTCTCTCTCTCTCTCTCTCTCTCTCTCTCTCTCTCTCTCTCTCCCAGTCTGTCAGTCAGTCAGCAGTCTCTCAGTATCGGAGATGCGCGATGCTGGATCGGGCTTTCGGCGCAAACATGTCCGGGATCTCCGTCCAGCGCGCCTGCAACTCCTGCTTCACCTCAGCCCAGCACCTCAACTCCTCCGCGGACACAATCTCGCATTCCCACGCGGAAAACGAAGACGACGAGCTCCTCAAGTACATCTGGAGGGAATACCTGCATCCCAAACAATACGAATGGGTGCTCATAGCTGGATATATACTGGTTTTCCTCGTGTCTCTGGTCGGAAACACACTGGGTAAGTTTTGACGCGCGCGCGTAACTCACAAAACCATCTCATCAGCGCGTTCACGTGTTTAATGAAGGATCTACAGGTTTCCCCATCACATCTGACATTCTGTTAATTGCATGGAATTTAAATAAGTATGCTTATAAACCTGCAACATTGATAACTTAAAAATAGCCTAATGTTTTTGGCATATATCAGCCCAAATACATCATATTTTACAACATATCTCTTATTTCCAATGCACAAAATGCTCCTATTAACGGAAAAGTGCTATATGGATCATTAAAATCACTTTAAGAAACAAATCCGTAAATAAAACAACAGTTTACTTGAAGGTATTTTGAGGGAATCGTGTGAATGACATCTTAATATTATATATATAGGCTAAAATCAGGCATCGCGGATTTTAAATTCATTATCAGCAATGATAGGCTCTATATTTTCAGAACAGTGAATCTGATTGTCTTTAGGGTTACTATGAATTTTGAAGTCACGATGTATTTACCTGTTTTTGATGCTTGTTCATTTCAATGACAATTTCATATCGTCTACACACATATGCAGGCGCACAAATGCATCTGCAACCTTAAAATCGTCAAGCCTCCGGGTTTCTTCTTTGATATTTAATCCTATTCTCTCTCTCTCTGTCTCTCTTTCTCTTTGAAGTGTTTCTTGTAAATCAAATCAAGTGCTGAGTTGCTGTTTTACAACCCAATTGTGATGGATGTATACAATTCTGAATATGAAATACATTTCAATATAATGTTATGCTTCAGGGGCACAGAATCCCTTTTCTTTTGACACGGGAGTTTATTTAGCTGATATACAACATGCACATTTGTGTATATTAACCATGGATCCTTTAAATATTGGGTTGCTTGACTTGAAATTATTTTTTGTAAAAATTCTCTTTAAAGCTGCTGTTTTTTATGTGTTTGTTTTTCAATAAAATAGAAGTGCAATATACACTCACCGGCCACTTTATTAGGTACACCTTAGGTACCCCTATTTGCCCTCAGAACTGCTTTAATCCCTTATGACATGTGTTCAACAAGGTACTGGAAATAATCCTCAGAGATTTTGCTCCATATTGACATGATAGCATCACACAGTTGCTGCAGATTTGTTAGCTGCACATCCATGATGTGAATCTCCCGTTCCACCACATCCCAAAGGTGCTCTATTGGATTGAGCTCTGGTGAGCTTGGAGGCCATTGTCATTGTGGAACTCATTGTCATGTTCAAGAAACCAGTCTGAGATGATTGAGCTTTATGACATGCTGCGTTATCCTGCTGGAAGTAGCCATCAGAAGATGGAGACACTGTGCTCATAAAGGGATGGACATGGTCAGCAACAATACTCAGGTAGGCTGTGGCGTTGACACGATGCTCTGGTACTAATGGGCCCAAAGTATGGCAAGAAAATCCATGCTTTCATGTTGTTGATGCCAAATCCTGAGCCGAGCATCTGAATGTGTCAGCAGAAATGGAGACTCATCAGAGCAGGCAACGTTTCTCCAATCTTCTATGGTCCAGTTTTGGTGAGTCTGTGTGAATTGTAGCCTCAGTTTCCTGTTCTTAGCTGACAGGAGCGGCACCCGGTGTGCTCTTCTGCTGCTGTAGCCCATCCGCCTCAAGGTTGGACGTGTTGTGTGTTCAGAGACGCTCTTCTGCAGAGCTCGGTTGTAACGAGTGCTTATTTGAGTTGCTGTTGCCTTTCTATCAGCTGGAACCAGTCTGGCCATTCTCCTCTCACCTCTGGCCTCAACAAGGCATTTGCGCCCACAGAACTGCCGCTCACTGGATATTCCCTCTTTTTCAGACCATTCTCTGTAAACCCTAGAGATGGTTGTGCGTGAAAATCCCAGTAGATCAGCAGTTTCTGAAATACTCAGAGCAGCCCGTCTGGCACCAACAACCATGCCACGTTCAAAGTCACCTAAATCCCCTTTCTTCCCCATTCTGATGCTCGGTTTGAACTGCAGCAGATCGTCTTGACTATGCCTAAACGCAGTGAGTTGCTGCCATGAGATTGGCTGATTAGAAATTTGTGTTACCGAGCAGTTGGACAGGTGTACCTAATAAAGTGGCCAGTGAGTGTATTTCACCATTAAGCTTTCCAGTGTCATCCAGTTTCACAGAGATTATGGAAGGCTTTAAAGCAATATGTGGCATAAAAATAAAATGCGTTATTTTTTTTTTACTGATCCTCATCAATTTCCCAGTGTTGGGTTGCGGCTGGAAGGGCATCCGCTGCGTAAAACATATGCTGGATAAGTTGGCGGTTCAATCCGCTGTGGCGACCCCTGATTAATAAAGAGACAAAGCTGAAAAGAAAATGAATAAATGAATGATCCTCATTAACAGTGAATATCTTTCAACAGTAGTTTTAATAACTTAAGTGTTTTGTCTTTGCCATGATGACAGAATCTAGTATTTATTTAGCTTAAAGTGCAATTTCAAGGCTTTAGTTAATTAGGTTGAATAGGCAAGCTAATTAGACAAGTCATTGACCAACTGTGCTTTGTTCTGTAGACAAATCGAAAAAAGTAATCTTAGGGGGGGCTAATTGCATTGAATATTGAATAATATTGACCTTAAAATGAACCATTTTTTAAATTAGTTTTTATATTTAAGTTGTGTAGGCTATACAAAGAGGGAAAAATATAAAATAATCAGTAATTGTTTCTCTTCACCAGGGCTGTCTCTCAAAAAAGGGTACCTTCTGCAGGTTTTATTTTTCCTGTTTAGACAGGCGAGTGTTATTGTGATGCAAGACTTTTACAGAAATTGTCAGGATAGTTGCAACTTAGATAACGTCTTTATCTCAAATCTGTGTTTATTTCTCACAATTCTGGCATTTCTAATCTATCTATCTATCTATCTATCTATCTATCTATCTATCTATCTATCTATCTATCTATCTATCTATCTATCTATCTATCTATCTATCTATCTATCTATCTATCTATCTATCTATCTATCATTCTATCTATCTATCTATCTATCTATCTATCTATCTATCTATCTATCTATCTATCTATCTATCTATCTATCTATCTATCTATCTATCTATCATTCTATCTATCTATCTATCTATCTATCTATCTATCTATCTATCTATCTATCTATCTATCTATCTATCATTCTATCATTCTATCTATCTATCTATCTATCTATCTATCTATCTATCTATCTATCTATCTATCTATCTATCTATCTATCTATCTATCTATCTATCTATCTATCCATCCATCCATCCATCCATCCATCCATCCATCCATCCATATCACTTGAGTAGCAGTGCAATATGGCTGTATATCAGTGCCTTAGCGTCCCACCAGTGCTGATATACAGCCATATCGCACTGCTGCGAGTGTGATATTGCATTTATACAACAGTTCAACGCCTCAATCGTGTATATAAATAAGAAAATCAAACACGAAGAGTCTACAAACCCCTTTTTATTAGGGACTACTTTCTTTCGCCATTCATTCACATCTGCAGCTGACGTCAGAACAGCAGAAGCCGTTACTAATTCACCAACGTCACTTTAGAGCTAGTGTTTGAATGACAATCTATAGCGTAATGTCTAAAGTGATGATAAAACAGCCGATTTTGCTCACACTTTAAGATTATAAGACTGAACGTGACATGAAATGCCATCCATCTACAGAGATATCTTCTTACAGTGTTACAGTCTACAGTATTTCTCAATTGCAATCGGGATTTCACAATAATTGACCTCGAAAATAGCAACGAATCCACTAACGTTACCAGACTGCTATTGTGTTTGCGATAAGGAAAAACGCTAAACACGTGCAGACTTTGCCTATTTCAATCTCCCAACACAACACACTTTTCGGATATGCGAGCAAATCGGTATAAATACAGCACTACAACATACAAGAGAGAGAGATCGACTTACAATAAAATATATTAAATAAATTAAAGTAGGCGAAGCAGTGGTGCAGTAGGTAGTGCTGTCGCCTCACAGCAAGAAGGTCACTGGTTCGAATCTCGGCTCAGTTGGTGTTTCTGTATGGAGTTTGCATGTTCTCCCTGCCTTTGCGTGGGTTTCCTCCGGGTGCTCCGGTTTCCCCCACAGTCCAAAGACATGCGGTACAGGTGAATTGGGTAGACTAAATTGTCCATAGTGTATGAGTGTGTGTGGATGTTTCCCAGAGATGGGTTGCAACTGGAAGGGCATCCGCTGCGTAAAAACGTGCTGGATAAGTTGGCGGTTCATTCCGCTGTGGCGACCCCTAATTAATAAAGGGACTAAGCCCACAAAAAAATGAATGAATGAATAAATGAAAGTAGCATAAAGGTTTTTGTTGTGATCTCTTTTTGTCATTATTTTTTTTTACAGTGTAAGTAAATCCATTGTAACTTGGAAATGTTAAGTTGACTTGATTTGTTTAATTATGCAACTTTTACTCGCTTTAAAAAAAAAATAAAGTCAACTAATCGCTTTTTAGAGTGTAGTTTCACGAGTCTCGCCAAATAAAACATGAAGAGAAAAGTGCAAATTGTCCTGATAAGCATGAAAAGTGTGATGCATATACCAGATATTATTCATTAGGGGAGCTTATCAAGACACACTCATGCACAGCAATCATGCAGGACTGAGTCACAATACAAACCATCAATAATGAAAGCAGATGAGGAAAAACTTCAGCTCTCCAATTGACAGGAAACAACCCAGCTGTCGCATATATATATATATATATATATATATATATATATATATATATATATATATATATGGTGTTTGATGTTGTGTTTTTAGGAATGTGTGCCATATGCATCAGAAGTTCATCCGTAAAAATCTGTCGGCGGTGCTTGGCCTAACAGATGCATAACCAAGAACACGAGACATTCACAACATTAAAAACTGGACTTTTAGATGACTCAGAGAGCGTTCACTCGTAACACATCTCATAACCTAATGCACACTTCACCAAAACATACTTAGAACATTTTGTTTTTCTTAGCCGTACTTCCTC